TGCTCTTCTGTTAAAAGGGCAATTTCCTTCCTCTGGATGCTGTCACTTGGGTCTCGTCACCCAATCCACAGGGTCTGACCCTGAAAGCTAAGGGGAAGGTGGTGGGAAGGCTTTGGGCATTGTGGCATAGGTGAGCATCTGACACAAAGCAGGCAAAGTTTAGGTAGAGCACCTGGCACACGGTAGGCACACGTTATGCTGAGCACTTGGCACACAGTAGGTGCATGTTATGTAGTGTACCTGGCACACAGGAGGTGCGCTTGATTTAGCATATCGACACATAGTAGGCATGCTTTATGTCAAGTACTTTGCACGGAGTAGGTTTACTTTATTTAGAACACAGGACACACAGAAGGACCATTTTATGTAGAGTACCTGGCACACAGTAGGCACATGTTATACACAGTGCCTGGCACACAGTAGGTGCGCATTATGTAGCATACCTGACACACAGTAGGTGTGCATTAGGCAGCATAGCTGGCACACAGTAGGCATGCTCATGTCAAGCACTTTGAACATTGCATGCTTACTTTATGTAGAGCACCTGGCACATAGTAAGTGTATATATAGAGCACCTGCATAAATAAACTGGATTTATATAGCGTACCTAAGACACAGTAGGCACACTTCAGGGAGAGTGCCTGGCATGTAGTAAGTGCACTTTATGGAGAGCACCTGGCACACAGTAGGTGCACTTTATGTACAGTGCTTAACACACAGTAGGTGAACTTTATCAAGAGCACACAGTAAATAAAAAGATTTAGATAGATTACCTGGTACAGGGTAAATGCACATTATACAGTGCACCTGGCACGCAGTAGGCGCCACTTAGATACAGCACTGGCACACAGTAGAAGGACGTTACGTACGGTCTTTTGCACAGAGCAGAGCACTGACCCTCAGCGGCTCAAGTGCTAGTGTTTAGCACCTTCCCTTCACTCCCTCTTTTTGGGTCTCCCTCCTCTGTGCAGCTCTCCCCTGTCCCCGCCTCTAAGTCTCTCACCCACCATCCCATTGCCCAGATGGGAAGACTGAGCCCAGCTGGCCGGCACTGCCCACAGTCAGAGCAAGGACGAGGCAGCACGAGGACTCCACTCAGGGTCCCCTGGCTCTGCCCTCCCTGCCGGGACCCTGTGTGCTCATGGCCCCTCTCAGCCCCACCCTCCAATTTTCTGCTCTGTCCTCGGACACTGAGCCCAGCCTCCAGCTTCGCCCTTGCAGCTAGGCTCTTCATGCCAGAACCTGACCCAGGTAACCCCCAGGGAGGCTGGATTCTTTGTTCCTGCTCCTAGTGGTCACGTCTCAACCCATAGCATGGGTGACCGTACACCTTGAGGCTCAGAGTCACCTTTGATCACCCCCAACTCACCCCCACACCCCACCTGGGAGGTGCTGTGTCATGCTGAGCTAGTTCCCCTGCACCCAGCTACTTCCCTGCCCCATGTTTTGGCCGCCTGCCCTGGCGTGGCCCAGCCCAGCCCAGCCACTCTTCATTAAGGCCGAGGGGCAAAGACCGCCCAGCAGGGCGAAGAGGAGGTTGTGTGGACAAGCCGCTCCTGAGAGAAGGTGCCAGGCTGTGGTGGTGGGCCTGGAGGGTCCCAGCCTGGGATGGGGAGGGGGCTGCCCAAGGCTGAGGCGGCTCTAGGGAGATGGCTCTGGGAATGGTGGTTTCCTGGAAACTGAGCCCTGGCAGCCTCCCTGCGATTCAGGCTGGGCCTTTCTGACTGCCATCAGCCTCTGTCTGTCCCTTTCTGAGTGCTTACTACACAGCTGCAAGCCAGTTGGCTGCAGGTTGACCTGGGCCTTTCTGGACTTTAGCTCTCAGGCTTTGTTTACCCATCTCTGAGCCTGCCCCTTCCCGCCCCCTCTGCCCTGGTCCCGGAGCCCCCTTCCCTCTCCTAGGCCTCAGGATCCCCCCTGAACCCGTCTGCCCTGCAGGATGCCACAGCTGAGCCTGTCCTGGCTGGGCCTGGGGCCCCTGGCCACCTCCCCGTGGCTGCTGCTGCTGCTGGTCGGGGCCTCCTGGCTCCTGGCCCGCATCCTGGCCTGGACCTACGCCTTCTATGAGAACTGCAGCCGCCTCCGACGTTTCCCACAGCCTCCCAAAACAAACTGGTTTTGGGGTCACCTGGACTTGGTGAGTGTAGCAGCAGGACGGGTCTGC